ACGGCCCTTGGCTGCTTTTAATCATTAGCTCAGTGTTTGCATTGCTCACACTTGCCCAGAACAGGGAGAGGCTTCCAACTGTGTCACCATCACAGTCATACTGTTGACATGTGGAGCCAAATGCTGAAATATGCTGGTGCTGTATAATTATTTTATAATCATCTTGACTATAAAACAATGGACAGAGTGTTGGATTTTGACTCGTGAGACCAATATGGCTTTCTATCTAACCTTAGCCTACCCTCCTTTACAGGTTTGCAATAAGAACAAATCAGGCTATGTACACTGTCCTTAACTCCTTGAAGGAAGGCTAGGATATGATAAATATATGCTACAAATCACCATCTTAGTATGTCAAACTTGCAGCAGATCAAAATGTTAGGCTTTCTAAACTAAGTTGCCCTTTGCTCCCACAACGTATGTTAAAGAAAATTTTCACTTATTATTATGTTTCTCCATTGATCCACAAACAACTCCTTGCTTTCCTACAAGACACCTGCATCAGTATCTCTGCTGAGCATGTTAATTGCACTAAGATCCAAATGAGACACTCCCTTCCTGCCCAACAAACTATAAATTTAGGCACTTGACAAATAATTGTTTACCTGGACTTTTTGTTTACCTGGATCCCCCCCCCCCATGTATCCTCTCTCCTTGCTTACCTGATCAGCCTTACACTTTGTGTTGTTTTTTAATCAGAGCTGAGACAAGGGAGAGTGGATTTCAAAGAGCTTGACTTCAAAGAAACTTGCCACTGATTAGAGCGGAAAAAGATACCAAGTGCAGAAGGCTCATGCTGCATCTTTACAAATAGGCTGTGTCATACAAGACCCCTGGGGGGCACTCCCCCATCTGTCCCCCTTCTTATATTTTCTCATCTGTGCCTCACAATCACTACAGTATTCAATTATGCTAAGGAAATTGAGTTTGAATGATCTGTTGACCTAAAATTCACACATTCAAGGGGAGCTGAGCATGTGGTTCGTAGTTTTATTAGCCACTTGACCCCAGAACTAGTGTTGTTGCTGTTGTTGTTACACCATGTCTTTATCAAATTTTATATACCGTTTGATCATTAGAAAACCTCTAAGCTGCTTACAAAAATACAAAGTGAAACATTACAATTTTCAATAAAAGAAAGTTTGAAATGGGTATTTTTAAATATTCAAAAGATGGGTTAAAATCAACAGTAGCTAAAAAGAAATAAAACACATGTAACTTCTACATGTGTGTATATCCTTACCTAGTTCAATTTCAGAGAGTGGTGGTGGTGATTTCTGTTCAGCCCTATGACAATTTTGTTTTGGGGACCTACAAGGTCCTATGCTTTTTAATATTGGTATTGTTATGAATTTGTGGGGTGGAGGCAGATTCCTCTAAAAGTCCTGGGTACCAGATTCCCTCCCAATTTTTTTAGAGCTGGTAAATGTAGGAGATCACTAAATGATTGAAGTCTTCACCCAGGTGTGAGAGCTTAGCAATCCAAAAACGCAGGTTGAATCAATTTCTTTGCCAGGAATCACCTGGGGGAAAGAACTATCATGTACTACAAAGGAAGGTAATAGGTGATTGACATAAATGTGATGTGAGCCTCCAAGGAGGGGATGGTGAGCAGAGACAAAGGTCAGGTTTAGGATTTCAGTGTTCAAATGATGTTAGCTGTGAGGGGAAGGTTGCTAGGATATCAGGGGGCATGATGTCACCACAGGAAAAAAGGTGTCCTTTTAAAATAAAGATCTGGAGGAAGCAGGGAGAACTCCATGTACACTGGCTGGAAAAGGCAGCACACAGAGACCATCGAGCATGGCCGGCTTCTGCGCTGGACCCAAGTTTGCTGAAACTATGAGGGAGCAACAAAGTGCATTTTTTAGGGGTTTGCACACCCTCCACCTAAACTCAGGTGCAAATATGTGTAAATAAACCCTATTTATTAAAGACATTACAGTCTACACCGTGCCTCATTTCAAAGGAACACAAACCTGGTTAACTCAGTTAGTTAGAGCAAGGTGCTGATAATGCCAAGGTTGTAGGTTCGATTCCCTTCTAGGACAGCTGTATATTCCTGCGTTGCAAGGGGTTGGACTGGATGATTCTCAGGGTCCCTTCCAACTCTACAATTGTATGATTCTAAGTGTCAAGATCCTTGGAATCTTGCTACCGCTGTGCAGAGATTGGGGTAACGGGTAATAATATTAAGCTGCTGAGTTAGGTCATCAGGATACTAATGAAACTCAGCTGTATCACTCTGTATCATCTGAATCAGGTGAGGCTATGCAGATACAGGACTAATGCCCATGGTGAGAAGGGGTTGAATGAGGGCAAACAAAAATGAACCTGAATCCTGACAAGCCAGAGGTCCTGGATGTAGGTGGATCTCAGAAGTGGAAATGGCTAGAGAGCTTGTTCTGATAAGGTATACCCTTGGAAACATCTTTGTCACTGGAAGCTCAAGAGGTGGATGCAATTGTGCCGTGTTGCACATTTCTTCATAAGGTTAATTTGGTTATACTGACCTATATTGGTGGCAGACAGACCTAACCCTCTTTTTATGCACTTCAAGGACAGCATCACAATATATCCAAACTCCCTAAGGCAGCAATCCTACACCTACTTTCCTGAGAAGTCCCATAGAATTTGAGAGTCCCATCAAACTCTATGGGACTTACTTCTGAGCAGATACATACTGTATAGGATTGTGCTGTAAATCCCACATTTGACATGGAGCAACTTCCTGGGGAGAAAACATGGCATTCACTTCGGACTTCACAGCAAAGGAATAAACAGCCAAATAGAAAGACTGCAGGCACCAACACTGGGTATCTTTAAGTTGCTGTTAACTAGACATAGCCTAATGAGGTTTGCATTGGTCAAGGATGTGAAACATTCATAATCCCACTCAATAAAGAAATGTTTGGTTCTGAATCCAAGCAGGGTGGATATTTCCACCCAGCTGCTTACAACTCTTTGGAGAGGCAAAGGTAAACAATGGAGCTCCACAGAAGCTAAATAGCCACAAGAGTACAGAGGAAGAAATATCATTTTAAAATGACATTTGTAAAAAAAAACCAGAAGCCTTTTTAATACATATTTTAGGCCAAGATCTACTGAAAGGGAAATGTAAATTATTCATGTATGCGACAAGTGCGGCAAGAATCCTAATAGCTCAGAATTGGAAATCTGGAGAAATAGCAACGAAAGAAAAATGGCAAGAAGAACTGATGGACTATGCAGAATTAGCAAAGTTAACAGACAAATTACATGAAAGAGACAATAGTGACTTGAAAAAGGAATAGGAACCTTTTACAAATTATTTGCAGAAACAACAAAAAGAAATGGACTCATTGGCAGGATTTGAATAAACTTTCACAACTTTATTGATTTAAAAAATGGAGGATGACAATGTAACAACAAGGAATAGTATGTATACATGCAGAATACAACAATTACAGTAGTACCTCGGGTTACAGACACTTCAGGTTACAGACTCCACTAACCCAGAAATAGTACCTTGGGTTAAGAACTTTGCTTCAGGATGAGAACAGAAATCGTGCGATGGCGGCAGCAGGAAGCCACATTAGCTAAAGTGGTACCTCAGGTTAAGAACAGTTTCAGGTTAAGAACGGACCTCTGGAATGAATTAAGTTCTTAACCCGAGGTATCACTGTAATGTAACAAACCAAAAGGGGAAGATGAGGGAAGTCGGGGGGGGGGGGGAGTTGGGGAATTGTTTCTTTTCTTTTTTCCTTTTTCCTTACTTTTTATTAATATTATAACTTTCTTATGAGATAATATGTATTGTAATGAATATAAAATTGTAAAACCCAATAAATTAAAAAGAGAGAGTGAGAGAGTATGGGGGAAGAGCAATTTGTCTTGAGATTTTAAGTTAAACAAGCAGTAGCTAAGACCCCTCCTTGGTTCTAGAGAAAAGGAAGAAATGAGCTTGTCTGTCTCAGCAAGTGGATAAGACAAAAACAGAGTGCAGAGAGAGAATGGGCATTATTAGACTCACCTTTGCCCTGCGAAACAATCTCTTTCCCTTCATCATTTTCTTTTTCTTAGTAGATGGAGGATGATTTAGAAGCCTTTTCCAGTAGATAAAGTTGCTTCTAGGGTATCTCTCCCTGTCTTCATTTATTTCGCACATTCAGAAAAACTTCTCATCACATTGTTTACCCTGATGTAACTTTCTGCTTCATATACTGAAGGAAAGCTCAAAGACAGTAGCTGTGCAGGTCACACTGGTTTTCCCTACACACCCTCATCAAGAATGAAAACAGGAATTGGGTGTCAACCTGATCTACAAATCTTAAGGCGCTGGAAGGAGGGGGCACAAAAAGTATACAATAGCTCATCTCCTCAGACATTTGGAGAGCCTCATTCAAGTGACAGATAAACCAAAGAAAATAAAGTTTAATATAGCAAAGATAGAACGTCAAACAAGTTCTTAACTAGCCAGCCCCTGAAAGTGTTCAGAAGTATAGCTCTGGGACCAAACAGCTGAGGATTTTTATCTACTATACATACTGACTGGTGGTACGACAGAGTAGCAGATGGTTGGATGGTGTTCTGAAGTCCATCCTGGCATGAGTTTGATCATACTGTAGTAGTCTGTGGCGTTCAGAACTGCCTTATTCTGAATCAGATCATTGGGTCACAAGAGTCTAACTCAGTAGTTGTCTAAGCAACATGACATAGCAGAGATAGATTCGTCAAACAGGGTTCTCAGACTGAGGTCCCTCCCAACTGAAAGTGTTCAGAAGTATAGCTCTGGGACCAAACAGCTGAGGATTTTTATCTACTATACATACTGACTGGTGGTAGCAGGTAGCAGGGTTGGAGGCGGAAGTCCATCCTGGATTATTTGAATATTAGTTTTCTTTTGCTTTCAAAACTGCCTTATTCTGAATCAGATCATTGGTCTATCTAACTCAGTGTTGTCTGCACTGACTGGGAATGATTCTCCAGGATTTCAGATGAGGGTCCCTCCCAACTCTACCTGGAGAAACCAGGTTTTGAACCTGGGATCTTCTAGATGCAAAGCAGATGCTGTATCACTGAACTAGAGCCCTTTTGTCAGAAAGTTGGCAGAAAAGCAAGAGAGAGACAAGGCCACCTGCCCACCTAGCATTATTTCATTTTTTGTAGGCTCCAGGCTCCAGCTTGAAGAAGAATGCTCCATACCTAGCCAGACTTTCTGCTCCTGATTAAGGGCCAAGGTAAATCTGCTGACTTGGGGAGGCTCTGTTTCAGGCAGGATGCTGTACAGCCCTACCAGCCACACTGTCACTGTTGAGTAGCCATCTGCTATTTCACTATTAGTTCTCCCTTCTCCAGCTCCTGGAGGACAATGAGCTAAGAGGAGGAGTGTCACCCTCTTCTTGCAACAAAAACACTGCCTGGTGTCTCACACGCACAAGAACTGCAGTTAGTCCAATATTCCATCTTGACAACAAACACAATGGTCAATATCCAATGAAGTAGATCCACTAGTGCAATGATTCCACTTGTGCAACCTAACTTGCCCACCCTTTCCTCTCCTGCTGTTCTGGAGAGTTGAGGAGGAACTCAGAACAGATTTAGGGTGCAAGAGAGTACAGATTTTTTAAAAATGACCTTTGCATAGCCAAGAGTCATTGAGCTAGCCTATCTGTTGTTGTTGTTGTTGTTGTTCGCATCCGTTTGTCTCAGGAGACAGTGGAAGAGTGCATCTTTAGGGGTAAAGTCAAACCACCGAAGAGTTACAGTGCCTGCTGTGGCTGTAGAGACTGAGACAGGAGAGACATATTTTACTGCAGATGGGGCAGATGAAGGGGTCCTGTTTTGCTGCTACAGGTGCACCATGGTGTTCCTATCTTTGTGCTCCTCCCAGCAGTCATTCCTTCTCTGGTCACTGCTGTGGAAACAGAACCTGACTATCTCCAGGCACCGCAATTGTCTCCAAGTGATTCCCACACAGTGGGGTTGATGTAACACAGAGTTGGTCTGCCATGGGCCATGTGTCTGAAGCCAGCTCCCCGTAGAGCACATCCTTGGGGATCCTATCATCTTCCATTCTGTGTACATGACCAAGTCAACATGGCCAGAGGTTGTTGGATGGCTTTCTGTCATGGATACTTTAGTTGAGATTCCTGAATGGCAGGGGATTGGACTAGATGACCATTGGCGTCTCTCCCAATACTACAGTTCTATGATTCTACGACCCAAGGCTGGCGTAGACAATACTGAGATAGATGGACCAATGGTTTGACTCAGTCTATGGCAGTTTCCTATGTTCCTACGATGGATGAAAATGTTTTCAATTGAGAATGTTTGGAGGTTGAGAACCTTTTACACCCCACACCCATCTGCATGTTTATTCCCCACCCACAGTTACATCAAGACATGCAGGCACTCTCAAAACCCTGGAAAAGGCTTCAAAACGAGACGTTGCTACCAGGCAGCTTGAAGAAACATGGCACATGCAAGCCTTGTTGGAAAATGTGACCTTAAAATTAAAAGAGGTGGAGACGAACTGCAACTGACAGGTCCATCTGTAACTTTTCCAGTCTTGTTGGGGCAATTTCCCAGCGGCACTTATATACAATAATGTAAATAAACTCCCCATAACCTTATGCTGGATATTTCTGAAAGCAAAGAGCGTCTCTCATCGCAAGCCAAGGGATGTGAGCACAACAGGCACTTCTCATCTCGTTCTCTGCACCCTTCATAAAAGTGAATGACTGCATTCACGGTACAAAAGCAGAATTGTGTTTTAGGGCTGTGGGCGAGAGCGCCATGCCATTTTCTGGTACCATAAATAACTGAGCGTACACAGTAGTTAGCTGAGCAGAGGGGCTTGCGATTGAGGCTTGGGGTGTGTGTTTTGCTCTTTTACTACTCCGTGAAGGAGTTAATACATCATCGTAATTCCCTGGCTGGCACCATCATCCTGTGGTCACTAACTACATACATTCATTTCCCATCTGATGTAATTAGCCTTTGGGCCTCTTCCAAAATAACCCTATGCGTTGTTCACTGATTGGATTTTGAAAAGAGACTGCATGAGAATCTACAAGTGCAAATGTTTCACGGGAATCGGTTGTCTATACAATTTGTGGGAGTTTACTATAGATCCCCAAGCCAAAAGGAGGACATAGATGATGCCTTCCTGGAACAGATGGCCAAGCATGCAAAAGGAAGGGAGATAGTAGTAATGGGGGACTTCAATTACCCAGATATTTGTTGGATGTCAAACTCAGCCAAGAGCATAAGGTCAAACAGATTCCTCACTGGCCTTGCAGACAACTTCATTGTCCAGAAAGTGGGAGAAGCAACAAGAGGAACAGCCATTTTAGATCTGGTCCTAACCAATGTTGATGACCTGGTTAGTGGGGTAGAAGTGGAAGGATCATTAGGCGCGAGTGATCATGCTCTTCTGAAGTTTACTATACAGCGGAAAGGAGCAGCCAAGCATACTAGGACTCAATTTCTTGACTTTAAGAAAGCTGACTTCATAAAACTTAGGGAAGTGCTGGGGGAGATCCCATGGACAGTAATACTAAAAGGAAAGGGAGTTCATGATGGCTGGGAGTTTGTTAAGAGGAGATACTAAAAGCACAACGTCAGGCAATACCAATGAGACGGAAACATGGAAGGTGCCTAAAGAAGCCAGGGTGGCTATCTAAAGAACTTTTAACTGAGTTAAGATTAAAAAGGATGTGTACAAAAATGGAAAAGGGGAAACCACCAAAGAGGAATTCAAACAAATAGCCAGCACGTGTAGACACAAAGTCAGAAAAGCTAAAGCACAGAATGAACTCAGGCTTGCTAGAGAGGTTAAAAGCAACAAAAAAGGCTTTTATGGGTATGTCCGTAGCAAAAGGAAGAACAAAGAAACAGTGGGGTCACTCAGAGGAGAAGATGGTGAAATGCAAACAGGGGACACAGAAAGAGCTGAACTCCTCAATGCCTTCTTTGCCTCAGTCTTCTCCAATAAAGAAAACAATGCCCGACCTGAAGAATTTGGAGCAAATGATTCAGCAAAGGAAACACAGCCCAGAATAACTAAGGAGATAGTACAAGAATACTTGGCTAGTTTAGATGTATTCAAGTCTCCAGGGCCAGATGAACTGCATCCAAGAGTATTAAAAGAACTGGCAGATGTGATCTCAGAACCACTGGCAGTCATCTTTGAGAATTCCTGGAGAACAGGCGAAGTCCCGGCAGACTGGAGGAGGGCAAATGTTGTCCCTATTTTCAAAAAGGGGAAAAGAGAGGACCCAAATAATTACCGCCCAGTCAGTCTGACATCAATACCAGGGAAGATTCTGGAGCAGATGATTAAGCAAACAGTCTGTGAGCACCTAGAAAGGAATGCTGTGATCACCAATAGTCAGCATGGATTTCTGAAAAATAAGTCATGTCAGACTAACCTGATCTCGTTTTTGACAGAATTACAAGCCTGGTAGATGAAGGGAACGCAGTGGATGTAGCCTACCTTGATTTCAGCAAGGCATTTGACAAGGTGCCTCATGATATTCTTGTAAAGAAGCTGGTAAAATGTGGTCTTGACTATGCTACCACTCAGTGGATTTGTAACTGGCTGACTGACCGAACCCAAAGGGTGCTCATCAATGGTTCCTCTTCATCCTGAAGAAGAGTGACTAGTGGGGTGCCACAGGGTTCTGTCTTGGGCCCGGTCTTATTCAACATCTTTATCAACAACTTGGATGATGGACTCAAGGGCATCCTGATCAAATTTGCAGATGACACCAAATTGGGAGGGGTGGCTAACACCCCAGAGGACAGGATCACACTTCAAAACGACCTTGACAGATTAGAGAACTGGGCCAAAACAAACAAGATGAATTTTAACAGGGAGAAATGTAAAGTATTGCAGTTGGGCAAAAAAAATGAGAGGCACAAATACAAGATGGGGACACCTGGCTTGAGAGCAGTACATGTGAAAAGGATCTAGAGTCTTGGTTGACCACAAACTTGACATGAGCCAACAGTGTGACGTGGCAGCTAAAAAAGCCAATGCAATTCTGGGCTGCATCAATAGGAGTATAGCATCTAGATCAAGGGAAGTAATAGTGCCACTGTATTCTGCTCTGGTCAGACCTCACCTGGAGTACTGTGTCCAGTTCTGGGCACCACAGTTCAAGAAGGACATTGACAAACTGGAACGTGTCCAGAGGAGGGCAACCAAAATGGTCAAAGGCCTGGAAACGATGCCTTATGAGGAACGGCTAAGAGAGCTGGGCATGTTTAGCCTGGAGAAGAGGAGGTTAAGGGGTGATATGATAGCCATGTTCAAATATATAAAAGGATGTCACATGGAGGAGGGAGAAAGGTTGTTTTCTGCTGCTCCAGAGAAGCGGACACGGAGCAATGGATCCAAACTACAAGAAAGAAGATTCCACCTAAACATTAGGAAGAACTTCCTGACAGTAAGAGCTGTTCGACAGTGGAATTTGCTGCCAAGGAGTGTGGTGGAGTCTCCTTCTTTGGAGGTCTTTAAGCAGAGGCTTGACAACCATATGTCAGGAGTGCTCTGATGGTGTTTCCTGCTTGGCAGGGAGTTGGACTCGATGGCCCTTGTGGTCTCTTCCAACTCTATGATTCTATGATTCTATGATTCTAGGACCGCACTGACATATCAACTAGGGGAAATCTTTGGTTTCCATCTAATATTTCCACATGTAGGTCCTCACATCATCGCTTCAGAAAACAGATCTTTTGAATACAAAGTGGCAAATCCATTCTCAAGATGTCAGGGATGGGGGAACCTGTGACTCTCCAAATGTTGTTGGACTTCATCAGCCCTAGAGGTGATGGGAGTTGAAATGCAGCAACATCCAGAGGACTGCAGGTTCCACACCCCTGGAATATGTTTAAGCCCCATACTGGAGTTTGTCCTGTTCATTCCAGAAGTACATGTCTGATACAATGCACAGTATTTAGAGCAGGAATAAGCCAAAGTGGTGCTCTCCAGAAGTTGCTGGACTCTAGTCCCAGCCAGCCTGTCCAATGGTCAGGGTTGATGAAAATTGTAGCCAAGCAGCATCTTGGAGATTACCACATT